GAGGTGGTCCAGCGAGGCGTTTTCGCCATTCTTCTGAAAACTGTTCTAAAGGCTCGCAAGATGGGCATCCGTCTTCTGATGGATAAAGACGCAGCCTTCATGAAGTACCTCTCGGATATTCCCATGCTGCCCGGTATCATTTTCCAATTCCTAGACGGGTTGTACCGCTATCTTGATCTCAAAGAGACTGGATCCGAAGACCACGCCGCCATGAGAAGAGCGAAGTATGACATGATCCTGGCCGTACGCACCGGCCTACAGCCGCCAAATTATAATAGCCTTGACCCGTCCTACGACGATACCCGAAAGGTCACTTCTATCTTTTGCCGCTCGTGTGGGTACAAGATGTTGGACATTTTCTTTTGCCCCCGGCAGATCCAAAACCGACCTGACCCTCAAGACTGCGCTGGGTGTACGTTCCAGGGTTTGCTTGACCATCAGAGCGATCACCAAAAGCAACATGACATCTCTCTGATGGGACTTTTCTTAGAGGAGGACTGGGACCCCAAAGGTTTCAACGTTGATGCTCCGGTCCATGACTATGGCCAAGAACTCCTTTCTCTGCAGCCCCGGAAGACCACACATGACATCCCTCAGATGGTGCTCCTCCCAAATGGTGATTTCGACCGGCCATCGTTACAGGAGCAACTTATTTGCGAGCACAAGAAAAATAACGACTGCCTCCAGGGCCTGGCAACTCTTCAAGACTTGCTCCTACAGAAGGACGCCAATAAGACACAAGCTAAGAACTATGCTCTTCACATTGATGCATGCCGGGCCCTCTCGATCATCATGGCTTACACTGACTCTCAGCTTGCTGAGCTGGATGAAAATGATGGTGTCGGGGGTCATTTCTGCGAAGGCCAGGGATGGCGTCCTCTCGTCAAAGGCTTCGGGGATTCGAAGGAAAGCCAGGGAGGGCCTCCTCTCCTTAAAGGCTTCAGAGATTCGAAGGAAAGCCACACATTCGAGTCAGCCACGAAGGCGGCCCAAAACCTCAAAGTGAGGGCCGACATTGCAGAAGGTCGACGACCGGAGCAGGATGCTGCGGGATTTTGGTGATGCTTGGGAAAAACCTATCTAGGTCAGCCCTAGAACTTGCGGATTCGCGGAACGTTTGGTTGCTTTTGATTTGTTGGTACATGACACATTGCAGAACCCAGGATGCGGTTTTTGCTTACAATACCCAAGGACTTGATGATAGCTACACGGAGGATAGAATGAGAGCTTTTGAAAGAAAACGGAAGCTGGCTATAATGGGAGAATGAGCACAGCTTGGGATCGTTGGTGCTGAGATAGCTATTTTCTGACCCGTAGCGTTAATCAAGTTCACTAGATTAAGACGAAGCTCCAGTGAAATTTCGGGAAGACTGTGATCATCATGGCTAGAATGCATCATAACAATTTTGTAAAGACCTATAGATATTGTGTCATACAGGATATGATGTTCATGGAGGCTGAGGACCCTGGCGAGATGGGAAAAGTGGATTCCGGGGTGGCTTTATCCACACGTGATTCGACGATTCGGCACTCGAAGGCAAACCTCAACGGTTCAAGGATAGAACTTCTCTCTGACCAGGGTCGTCCGCCTCAGAATCAACCATGATGGCTTCATTCCTTCGCGCCTTCTCGCTATCAGCGAGATCATTGACCCCAAGAAATGCCATGGGCGCTTTTGCGACTCGCGCCAACTGGTCGCTCTTTGCCAGCCCCTCAACGACGCCCATCTCTCTCGCACTCGGAAATGGGCTGATGCAACAGACTCGCGGCATGAAGGTTCACAGTTCGGTAAAGAAGCGATGCGAGCACTGCAAGGTAAGAGAGGGCAGCCAGGAACTCGGCTTCAGGTCAGGGACTAGACCCGGGCAGAACTGATACTCGATAGGTTGTTCGACGGAAAGCCGGCAAGCGACATAACGGATACTTGTATATCATCTGCAAGGCGAATCCTCGACATAAGCAACGACAAGGTTAATTCCGAATGATGGGATACGGGAGGATATGTACGATATGGGTGAAGCAATTGCGAATCGGACATTGCTAGGCGGGCAACGGGAACCATTATGAGTGATAGAACGAACGACATGCTGGGCGATTCTTTCAGTGAGAAGCCTTGAATAAACATTCTATGGAATTTGAGAAAAAGACGACAGCGCTGGGACCGGAGCTGTTCGTCATGTACCACTACATCTACATTCACAACTGCTGCGCTACATACCATCGATATACCTCTGCATGCCTTCCCATTCCGTCTTTCCAATTGATAAGAGATACCTAACGTGTGACTTGGAGAGAACAGTCAGTGAATGGGTCGAGAAGCGAGTGAGGGAAACATACAGCGTCTGTTACGTTGCGACGCCTTTCAAATTCGTCGCGGGCATATTTTCGAGACTCAGCTCTTGTTGTAGGATCAGCGATCTTTTTTGTCCCGCGCAGGATAGTGCGGTAGAAAGCCAAGACTCGGCCTCTTTGGATGAACTAGATACGATTCTATCAGTATTTGACATCATGAAACTTGTATCAGACCCGAGCGTGTCGATCATACCTGGTCGAGACTTAATGTTGGCTTGAGACGAGAACCGCCTGGTCTGGTGGCATAGCCACGGCTGAATGTCAGCAAACGGATGCTGAGGACCATTCCGCCAACTTCTACCTCGTTAAATGAGAAATAGTGAATTTTGACATTCCTTGACGTTTAGATATTGATGATGGAAAGCTTCAAACGGTGCTTTCTCATCATGTCGGACGAACCTCGGCTATCTAGAGGGTCTGGTCTTTCCGGTTCATCCAACCCTTCATATTGTTAGTGGAAGGTGTGACCATGTTTGACAGAGACAGATATATTACCACCTTGTAATTCTCATTTTCGATATCTTCATCCTTGTTTCTTCTTCCTTAGTTTGCAGCATCTGGACTTCACATTAAAATTATGACAGATACGAATGGCACAAGAGAACCAAGGAGATTAGTTGGAAGAAGACGACAACGACCCGAAACCCCCATTGAGACGGCCAATAAGGTCGAAGATGATGAGTTTCTGACACAATATGTGAAGCCAAGGTTAGTTTACGTATAACCCAGACAAATTCAGTCATAACAAGCGTGGTAGCCAAGGTTGGTCAGAATGGAAACACCCACAAGATGAAGCAACCTATTCCATGAGCCTCATACGTCCTACCCGCATGAGCAATGGAGATCTGGAGGCATGCTATAGTTTGGTAGAAGAAACAAGCGGCCAAGATTATCGCAGTTCGTCTCTTGGCTGGCATCCGGCCACTAAGAAGAAGGAGATGCGGTCCCCGGACCTTCGTTACATCCTTGTGAAAGACAGCAAGGACAACATAAAAGGGTTTACATCTTTTATGCCGACATTCGAGAACCATGAGCCGGTCGTTTACTGCTATGAGATACATCTGAAGCCAGAGATACAAGGGTGAGTAAGCCAACATGGCCGTTCCTGAGACCATCCGCATTTCAACGGGGATTCGTCTTTCATACAGGAGTGTACCACAAATAGAACACGGTTGGCCGTTGAGCTAGCTGACATCCAATAAAGAACAGGCCTCGGCAAGAAGCTTATGGGTTACTTCACGGACGTCGCGGAGAACATACCTTCAGTTGAAAAGGCCATGCTCACGTGTTTTGTCAGCAACAAATCTGCCCTCAAGTTCTACGAGAAGCTAGGATTCTCAAAAGACGATTACTCACCGAGGGCGCGAAAACTACGAGGAGAAAAGGTGGTGATACCCGATTATGTGATACTCAGTCGACAAACAACCTCTAAGAGAGTCGAGGCTTCGCGGGCGCACGAGCCTGGACTTCGATGAGAAAGGCGATACCTACCTACATACAAACAGACACGGACTTTGTCTTGTTGAGGTTGCAAGGCAGCTCGTATTACTACGTGCGGTCGCGGTCGCTTATTAGTGTAGAAACGGATTGCAGTCAAGTTTCCTTTATTATTATACCACTCTACAATCACATTTGGGATTGCCAATTGCACCTCAACGATAATTCGACATAAAAAATCCGACTGGGCTTTTTTCATGCCGATTTACCTATTCAGGCCCGCTTCAGCCGCAAATACCAAGCATTGCATTGCCCCATTGTCAATGAGACACTACCAAGCTGAATGTTCCAGCATTTAAGGGATGTACACGTCTTTTCTAAGAATATCATCGTGGAATGACATTCGCAGTGGTGGCCGAACTTTGCCTAGTGTGGCCTGTTGAAGCCCAAGCTGAGAGCTGTCCTCCACCCTTTTGACTCTGACCGAGCAAGACCAGACACGACTGTGAGAATTACCCAATTCAAATCTGATGGCCTCATGATAAGCGGTTCAACTAACCAGCTTGGGCGGCATTAATCTTCTGCAGCTCCAAAGATCCCTACACCAAGGCTGACACGCTGGGGGCACACTCCACCACCACTCGCCAACCATGTCAGCCCTAGGACGCTAGTCAGAAGCCGTGACTGAACTACCTTTTCTAGGAAACAGCTCTACCGTGAAGCACCGCACTTGGAAAGTATGTAAGTAGGTATTCTGCTTGCCGGGTTTGTGCAGAGTTGTACAAGTTGCACAGCCAGCTTGTGAGACATAGCGTCGGTGCCAATGCGGTAGCTGCATGCAACCAAGGGATGATTTTCCATCATGTTTCTGAGCTCGAGGCGTCAGACGGCTTCTAGCTAGGCTGCTGGGCTCCCCTGTTGCCTGTCCTGTCATGGAAATGAAGGGCGACCTAGCCACCGTGAAGGCTTAGAGCTGAAGCTCTGGGAGGAGAGGGCTTGCTTGTGATACGCCAGTCTGAAACGAAAGGCGAGTACCGTGCCGAGACTGTTGATTGTCCGTAGGAGGTTCTCTCATAAGACGCCGTTGCGCCCTCTTGACCGTTATTCTCCCTCCTCCTCCCTCCTTCAATCCACACTCTCTTTCTTCTTGGCTCAAATTCTGTTCAACTATAAATCAATTGCTTGGTCAATCAACTCACGCATTATTCACAATGGCCCAGCAGTACTCTCAGGGACCTAATGTCCAGAATCAGGAATGGCAGAACAACCTCTGCAATTGCTCGCCCTGCGACTCTTGCCTGCTCGGCACTTTCTGTCCCTGTATCCGTACGTGATCTCTGGGACAAATTGATTACAATTGGAAGTCTAATGAACTCGTCATAGTCTTGGGTAAAACCGCCGATCGTATGAGAGACCCTACTATGCAGACTGCCGATACCTGCAACAGCGATGCTCTCATATTCTGCGCGATCAACTGTGTGACTGGCTGTGGCTGGATGTAAGACTATTCCCGTAGTCTTGTTCAAACCGTCAACTAACGCGCGACTTCTAGTTACTCCATGATGAAGCGTGGTGAGATCCGTGAGCGATTCGGCATCAAAGGCAGTGGCATGAACGATTGCTGCGTCAGTTACTGGTGCCTCTGCTGTGCTCTGATCCAGCAGGACAACGAGGTCAAGTCTCGCCTCTCTCAGGGGCCCATCACCCAGGGCTACCAAGCTCAGAAGGAGGGTATGCACATGCCAACATCTCCTCCTGCTCAGCAGCAGCAGCAGCAATATCATGATCAGAAGCCCAACCCTCAGCAGCAGGCCCCTCAGCCCGATTATCAGCTTCCTCAGCACGGTTACCAGTCTCCCCAGCCTCAAGGATCATACCCTCCACCTCAGCAGACTTACAACCCTCAACAGCCCCAGTATTAGGCCAGTCGACCAGGGAATGTACAGCGAGATGGAGCCTCACACCGATATGACACCACAAAAAGAGAGAAATGCATGTGAAGAAGGCAATCAGAGAAATGTCTGGCATGTGAATTGACTTTGAGCGCGGACGGGTACGCGCCAACGGATTATACCTATATACCCAGTGACGAAGACAGTCATTTCTTATTTATATTATATTTATTTCGATGTATTATTTGCTTCAATGAAATAATCTGTTACTGTTCACCTCTCAGTTGTATATGAAAGCGTCATACTCATTCTCCCATTCTCTTTTGAATTGCCTAGTTCGGCGATGGAATACGAAATGGAGAATCAGCAGACAATATTACTGAAACTCTAAAAAGAAAAAACTTCGGGCTTCAGCTCGAGAGACCCTTGCAAGCTATCATTTGGGATTCCACTTGACCTTCCCCTTCGAGGCATGGTTTTGTTTCGCTTTGCAATGATGCTTTCCGGGATTACAGTCTGTGCACTTTGATATTTCGGCGATTTCCATGCTACGGAGCTATTCCGATGCTCGAAATCACAGCTTGCGAGGTCAGAGTGCGGCTTATCAGGTATACGACATACTATATTAGACGATTCTTGAGGATTTACTCCGTACTGGTACAATCGCTAAATGATATATACAATTACGGACTGGTGCTGACGTTAAACTCCCCTTCTGATCCTCACAATATGTATCACAACTCGGGCAGACCGGCAGCACTTCAGTGTCCCTCGGGGTATCAATAAAAATTTCATTCATGACCTCTGTCCCTGTCGTTTTTTTCAGACTGACAGCAAAACGCCCACGCCGCACCTCTATAGTGGTTGGACAAACGCCTATTCAGATCTACGGTTATAGAGGCTCTTTACCCTCAACCCAAATCAAACCCTTCTGAATCTTGTGCCCAATCCCCAATGCAATTGAATGCATATAAACAAACCAGTCCATTTTTCCGTATCCCTTTCCATCATCCCATCATTTTTTTTCCAGACATATATCATTACGCATAAAGCTTCTTCTCATAAGACTCCATGTTGACGTTGCCCTCCAACTGAGCGCTGGCCGTTCGAAGCTCGAAGCGCAGCTCACCAGCCTCAGCACTCTCGTGCATAGTCTTAAGGCTGGTCATGCCACTGTCCTGGAGAGAGTGCTTGAGTCCAGCAGCAAGATAGGGAACAAACTTGTTGATCGAACTATTGCATGTTAGCATTCGCGGTTCCTTTCAGATTCGGGTTATGACTTACCCTCGGTGAGCAACAGCGCCAGAGACACCCTGGGCAACCAGGACGCTATCACCCTCAGAAAAGTAACGGGCAGTACCAGCATTGCTCTTCTGGCTGTCCTTACCACCGTTGCCGGCCTTCTTGTCCTGCATAGCATCGATACTTCCCATACCTCGGTAAGCCTTGACGAGCTTACCCTCGCGGGAGACGAAAGAAGTGCCGGGAGACTCAGTGGTACCAGCCAAGAGACCACCCATCATGATGGTAGAAGCACCCAGAGCAAGGCCCTTGACGATGTGGCCAACGTTCTGGATACCACCATCGGCGATACAAGGAACACCGAAGCGGGCAGCGAAGCGACTGACGCTGTAGACAGCGGCGGCCTGAGGACGGCCGACAGCCATAACCTCCTGAGTGATACAGGCAGAGCCACTGCCCATACCGATTCGGAGACCGTCGACACCAGCGGCGATCAGAGAAGCAGCCTGCTCTCGAGTCACGACGTTTCCGCCAATGACATCGACACCAGGGAACTCACTCTTCACCCACTTGATCATCTCAATCTGATACATGCTGTTACCCTGAGAGCTGTCAAGGATAACGATGTCAAGGCCGGCATCAACCAGCTTCTTCAGACGAAGCTTGTCCTCGGGGCGAGTGCCAATGGCAGCAGCGCAGAGGAGCTGCTTGCTGTCGGGAAGCTTGGAGGCATTGGGGAAGTGCTGATTCTTGGTCAAATCGGAGCGAGAGATCATAGAGACCAGGTTGAAGTCCTTGTCGACAATGGGCAGCTTGCCCTTCTTGGACTTGGAAAGACTCTTGTTGGCTTCGAGGAGAGTGACGTGCTCGGGAGCAGTGACAAGGTCAGTAACCATGACATTGGAGACGGGCTGGTCAAGGTCCTCCTCGAACTGGAGGTCTCGGTTGGTAACAATACCAAGCAGCTTGGAACCAAGCTTGCCGTCGGCTAAATTTTTTCTTGTCAGCCCAATATTCTTGTGCGGGGCAATGCGAGCATAGATGAGAAAACAACGAGTTGTGGTGATTGATCATAGTAAATAAAGTCCCCATGACAATAGTCTATACGGTGGAACGAAAGTTATATAAAAGGGTGTATAATCATGCAATCTTGTGAGAGGTGAGGATGCTGTATAACACTTACCAGTGACTGGGAAACCACCGAAACCCCACTTCTCCTTCAGAGCTTTGGCCTCACCAACAGTGGTGTTGCGATCAATGACGATAGGGTCGAGGATGAAACCGTTCTCGTATCGCTTGACCTTGCGGACCATATCGGCCTGAGCTTCAGGAGAGCAGTTGTGGTGAATAACACCAAGACCGCCCTGGAGAGCCATGTGGATGGCCATCTCGTGCTCTGTGACAGTGTCCATGGGAGACGAGACGAAGGGAGTCTTGAGAGTGATGCGCTTGGTGATGGGCGCATCGAGGGTGACCTCAGAGGCAGCGAAGCCAATGTAGCCGGGTAGAAGCAGGAAGTCATTGTAGGTAAGACCACCGTGCTTGGTTGTGTCCATAAGCTCGTGGATGTCGAGGCCATCCTTCTGCTTGTACTCCTTCAGCACCTCGAGGGCTGTGGTGTAGTCAAGGACTGAGGCAGACATGACTGGCAGATAAAAGAGTATGTGACGAGGAGAATGGAAATGTGAGGTCGAAGGCGAGTTGAGTCGATAAGCAAGCTCTGGCCTTTAGTATCGACTGCTAAGATTGATAGTACGCTTCTTCCCGAAAGAAAGAAAAGAGAAAAGAATTGGTGGTGCTGCCTCAAAAACTTTTTTATGGGACGCGGGACCCTGCAAGGTGAGGGGCGACTTGGAGGGGCAGTTGCTTCTCTGAATGGATGAACTTGGTCCAGGCGTCGGGTCTAGGGGAGGAAAGAAAACTCGAGACCTTGATCCTAGATGACAAAAAGACTTAGGTAACCTTACATAAATTTAGAATATCTATACTAAGTTTAGGATATCTTTTACTGAGTTTATTTTGGCACCCTATATGAAGGTCTTATGTTTTCTTGCTCCCCGAGGCGGGTCTCGAGGCAGGTGGTTTCGAACCTCTGCTAGTTTTTCTTGCCGAGATCGCTAAAATTAGTAAGCTCTTTATCACATCTTTGAAATTGACTTACCCTGCAGCTACGGTGTTGAAGTCTTGATATGGATCAATTGCACTTGTTTATGACCTTGTATGACTTACGATAGCGAATAAGCTAAGTGTACATTGAATGTGGCCAGTTGTTCTCTAGCCTCGAGTTCCTATGTGTGAGTTGTCGATCGTGATAGCCCCTTCACAAGCTGAAATAGACCTTGACCTCAACATCATTTCCCCATCGAGTTTCAAGACCCAATTCCTTCCAGGCTTTTCCAATGTCGATCTCAAGTACGCGAGTATCAACCTTAGAAATGGCCACAGTATGCACGGGTATCACTTTTTCTTGAACCGTGATCAGGAAATCACCTTCAATCGTTAAAGAAGGGAGTGTAGAGACATAGATCCCTAAAGATTGTCAGATTTTAGGCATCGTAAAAAAACAGCAACTCCTTACCTAGGATGCCAAATGCTTTAACTCGCGTATCAATCAAAACACGGCCATTCTCTCGCTCTTGAACATCGCTCATGAGGATTGCTGCTGCGCCAGCCATCTTGCCCAGCAGGCCCAAATTCGAGATCCCGACATTACCTCGTTTCTTGCTGGATAGGCGAGTTAGAGGAAAGGCGGAGAGAATCTCATACCCTCTGATAGGTAATGAGATAGTAAACAGTGACTCTGGGCTCTCGATCTTGGTAGGATGAGAAACCTTACCCGTGGTATGAGCACGAACCACGTATTCAAGATCGTGAACCACACCAGGGAAAGCCGAAAGGGATACCAATTCAGTCAATGGCCGAGATGAGATATTGAAAATGGCCATAATAGGGCTTCCGGTATGTGAGGCTCCTGAATCGTGATTAGTGCATACCGCTAGCTTTCCTCTAAATAATTCTCACCATGATAGCTTCCAACCTTAAGGAGTAAATCATCGTCATATCCAATATAAGGGTCAACGGCCTTTCCTAAAGAGCTTGGCCGGAATATCACAGTCTTACCCCGTGGAGTGCGACCACTCATTTGCTCAATAAGATCCATGTCATGTTCACCGGGAACATCAGTGATATAAATTGGACCTCCGCTCACACATCTGGCAGCAGCATGAAATCCAGAATACTCATGGACAGTCTGGAACATGTCCCAGTCCGGAAGAACATTTAGATGCTGCATGAAAATGGCATTGTGCGCATTTGTCCACACGTGCCAGGGATGTGAAGCAGGAATCTCAGGGAAGAAGTCGTCAGAGTTTCGCACAAGAATGGTAGGCCGATTGGTTGGCATTTGCGAGTGGAAGAGTGCCTCCGGGAACTGCGACATACATGATATCGCCTTCCCACTGAAGTGACGAAGTATCGAGAGGGTCCACGCATCGAGGTACGTATTGATCAGATCTCGGCGAGGGGAGGCTTCAATCCACATATCGATCATGAACTGCGCGTCCGTCTTAACAGCATCTATACCGGCATCTGAAAGGAATCGATAAAAGTCATCATAGAATCGATTCACATCTTCTTGTGCGATCACCATCATCTTCCCACCCAGCGGAAGGTTTCGGCGGTCAGCATCTTCCCGTGTCACTTCGATAGTCTTGTATGTCTTGGCAAGCTTGCCATCAGGAGCAATGCCACCCCAGTAGCCTAGGAGGGCATGCCAAACAGCAATGTGTTGGATATGTGGATGATTCTGTCGAATATGGGATATGGTGGATTTTAAGCCTTTGGGAAATGCCTTGGGCTCCGCTTCAAAATCGTTCCAGCCATATTGAAACTGGCTGGGGCCACGATAATCGATCGACTGCCAGTTGTCATCAATGATGAGACTAGATACTTGGATGTTATGCTCAGAAAGCTTATTGAGAGCGTCGAATATTTTCTGGTCTGTTAGTCGTTGGCCCAGAGCGTTCCATGTGCCTGTAAATCGTTAGTTCGTCGTCCCTCGAAGTTGATCTTACTCAAGAACACACAGAAACCCAGTCCATCAAACCAATATTCTAGCCACTCCGGCTTGAAGTCATTCTTCAATGCGGATAACTCCTGTGACCACTCATCACTGGCCTTCTTCGTACCTGCAACCATATCTCGAGCATGATACATCACAGATGCAACGGTGCAGTCGAAATCGTCTCCAACCGAAACAAGAATAACGGCCTTTTCTTCGGAGAGACCGTCATTTCGGATCTTAAACGTCAGATATCGCAGGAAACTGTATCGGACGCACTTACATGAACCTGGAGCTTTCCATTGGGCTCACTTCGAAATACTGGCAAGACATGACTGACACCGCCGACGGCAAGGAACACTAGGTTTTGACCTTGTGGGCTTAAGAAGCAACACAGAAGGGCATCTTTATCGAGGTTAAACTGAGAGTGCCCATGGCGAGGTGCAAGCCACGGTGACCATAGTCTTACAAGAGAAAACCATCTATGTCCAGTCAGATGACATGATCGCTGATGGATTTCCGGTACGTCGTCGTGTCGCTCAGCTGAACTTACCTAACAAAAGTGCCCCAGGGAGTACCGATAGTGATGTCTCTGTACGAAGATTCATCACCATTTGCAGCTGGAATGACTGCTTCGAGTGACCAGAGTGAAGTTCTAGGTGATTGACTCAAACGTGGCTTGACACTCCAGTCTTGAGAGTTAAGATCGGGGATTGAATCAGAGAGGTCACTAGAAGAAACCCTGTTAGAAGCATTGACGACCAAACCATCATTAACACCCTGTTCATCGCGAATCCATCTCCAGTCTGCATCAGGACTATGCCGAAACTTGAGAGTGAACTGCACAGATCCTGTAAATGAGAAGGAAGACGTGAAATAGAATCGTGACATGGAATCATCCAGCACATGGAGAGTCTGAGGAACCCCAGTCTCTGTGAGTGAGGCTACCTCCAGGTCCTTCCAATCTGAGCCGTCTACTGAGTGCCATACTGAGACTTCCCATGGCTCGTTGGTACGGTCCTTGGGTATCTCAAGGACGGCCGTTAAAGTGACCGACGCACCCTGGATAGGTGTCACTTTCCCGAGAGGCGGGAAGCTTTGCAAAACAACCTTCATGTCTTCAGAAACAGGCCGTGGCGAAGGTTTCTGCTTGGCGATGTAAATTGCCTGGAAGACATCGCCAAAGTTGTAATTGTCAGAAGGCATCGCTGTGAAATGAGAACAAGAGGAGCAGACTTGATTGAAACAGGTTTATTTAGCCAATTGACTGAGAAATTCAGACTTCTCATGTATGAAGTTTAGTGAGTATTTTAAACGTGAAGATCAAGGTAACAGCATGAAATCGCATCAACAAGTTTGATGTTGTGTGACGATGTTCGTGTTTACAAGGCATTGTCATACATAACTAGAAGCCCACGAAAACGGATAGGCGTTGGATTATAGTGGAGTTTCGGTGGAGGTTGGAAGTGGTTAGTAATGAGCGCTTCTCATTGGCTTCGGTCTTGCTTTCGAGTCGTTCTGATTCGGGGACGGCCGGAATGACTAAGCCTTCCGCCTCATTGCTCAGGCTGCAAATTATCTCAGTAAAGCTTCTAGCCGAGCCAGATCGAAAGATTTCATCAAACCACTCAATTCAGCGTCGACCCTCCAAACCTGCGTCATGGCGTCCCGGAGACTGGCTTTGAACCTCTCGCGAGGTCTGCGAAACCGTGCTGGTCTTTCGGCCGCCGCCCCTTTCACACGAGGCTTTGCCACTCCCTCTCCCGTCGGCAAGACTCAGACTTCGACTCTTAAGAATGGATTGACTGTGAGCATCATCATCCGAGGTCAATTGGCCTCGACAACCACTTAGGAATGCCCTCCTGACACGCCCTCCTGATAGGTCGCCACCGAGCACTCGCCCTTTGCGCAAACGTCGACCGTCGGTGTCTGGATCGATGCCGGCTCCCGGGCTGAGACTGACGAGACCAACGGTACCGCCCACTTCCTTGAGCATCTCGCTTTCAAGGTTCGACAACCCATCAATTGGCCGAGACCAATCGTTAACAATGCAATCAGGGTACCGCCAAGCGAACTCAGCAGCAATTGGAGTTGGAGATTGAGAACATGGGTGGTCACCTGAACGCCTACACTTCGGTCAGTCGGATGAAGGGATACGGAATTGACTGATGCTAACGATCATTCAGCGCGAGAACACCGTTTACTTCGCCAAGGCTTTCAACTCTGATGTTCCCCAGTGTGTCGACATCCTCTCCGATATTCTCCAGAACTCCAAGCTCGAGGAGTCCGCCATCGAGCGTGAGCGCGACGTTATTCTCCGAGAGTCCGAGGAGGTTGAGAAGCAGGTCGAGGAGGTTGTTTTCGATCACCTCCATGCTACCGCTTTCCAGCACCAGCCCCTTGGCCGCACCATCCTTGGCCCTCGACAGAACATCCGCGACATCACCCGAAAAGAGCTCACCGACTACATCAAGAACAACTACACTGCTGACCGTATGGTTCTCGTTGGTGCCGGTGGTATCCCTCACGAGCAGCTCGTCGAGCTCGCTGAGAAGCACTTCTCCGGTCTTCCCTCAAGTGCTCCCCAGACCAGCGCCTACCTTGCCTCCAAGCAGAAGGCTGATTTCATGGGTTCTGACGTCCGTGTCCGAGATGACGGCATGCCTACTGCTAACATCGCTCTCGCTGTTGAGGGTGTCAGCTGGAACTCTGAGGACTACTTCACTGCTCTTGTTGCTCAGGCTATTGTTGGCAACTACGACAAGGCTGTTGGCCAGGCTCCCCACCAGGGCAGCAAGCTCAGCGGCTGGGTCCACAAGCACGACCTTGCTAACAGCTTCATGAGCTTCTCCACTAGCTACAACGACACTGGGTAGGTCTTGATGTCATACCATGAATTTTGATGTAACTAACTTGCCACAGTCTTTGGGGTATCTACCTTGTTTCCGACAAGCCTGACCGAGTTGACGACCTCGTCCACTTCGCTATCCGTGAGTGGATGCGCCTCTGCACCAACGTCAGCGCCGCCGAGACCGAGCGTGCCAAGGCTCAGCTCAAGGCCTCCATCCTCCTGTCCCTCGACGGCACCACAGCCGTTGCTGAGGACATTGGCCGACAGCTTGTTACCACTGGCCGCCGCATGGCCCCTAACGAGATTGAGCGAAAGATTGATGCTATCACCGAGAAGGATATCATGGACTTTGCCAACCGAAAACTTTGGGACCGGGATATTGCTGTTAGCGCTGTGGGAACTATTGAGGGCCTCTTCGACTACCAGAGACTTCGCAACACCATGAAGCCTAAGTTTTAAGGAAGAGATGGCTGATGGGATTGTGAAAATCGAAATAAGGGTATAGAGTGTATGAGATACCGTTTACAGGCCTAGTGTACCATAAGATTTCCTCTGTTCATGCTAGGTAACACGGAGTTGTGATAATTGTGTCTTGAATGTACTGCCATCTGTAGCTAATTGCAATTTTGTCATATAGCGTCTGTAGTGCTTCCGAGGTAGCGTCTATGTTCTCCCTTGAATTAGAATGTATTTTGTCATGATCATTGATTAGATGAGAAGATGGACACCTAGCCCTCCTCTGCCATCTCCTCGTCGACATCTTCACCAAACATATCCTCCACTGTCCCACCCTCAACCCCATCTCCGCCAATATCTTCAGGCTCGGGACCCTCAATACCTTCCATAGCATCACCCCCTTGATCCTCTTCCTCGTCGTCTTCTTCATCCCATACATCCTTCAGTCCCCAGCTTGTGCCACTCAGGACAAACCGTTCACTTGGCAGTCGCACACCCCATTCGCTGGGCACAATTTTAGGCAGTGCCACCTTGTTGCGTTCGCGCGCAAGTTCTTGCATGTAGTCTTTGCTAATCCCCCCACCTGCGTTTCCTCCGCGGAACTGGTAGCTGAGTCGCGCAGCAATGGCGAGCTTAACGGCATTGGCTGTGACTGCAGCGTCGCCTGCAGGTGCTGAGATTGCTCCAGCGTTTGCTGATGGCTTAGAGCCGGCCTGTGTGACATATGGGTCGCCAGAAAGGTGTAGCGCATCGCTGAGAACAGATGAGGTGTGACGGTAGGCGAAGTCGAGAAGGAGGAGGGGAACGCGTGGCTCGTAAGCTGTGACGCCTTGCGATGTGAGCAGTAGTTCGATAAGCCTTGAGTCGCGCGGTCGAGGGGCGGTTGTTGATTGCACTGGAGGAGGGGCGTTCTGTGAGGCAGCAGCAGCGGTTTGGCTAGAAGAGGCCGCCGTGGTCTGTGTGCTTGGTAATGGTTGCGAAGTGCCTGCCGACGAGGCGGGAACCCCGTTCGTTTGTGGTTGACTTGATGACATCTTAATCGATGCTGCAATGCTTCGCAATAGGTATCCTGTATGCGACTGTTCGTGAAAGCCTTCAAGCGATATCACGCGAAGCGCTCGAGTTCGTGTTTGGCAAGTCTGAAAGATGTCCGGACTATGAATGAGTGAAGTTGACGAGATGCAGTAGACGTATGTGAATGAGAGTGCTTTTATAGTTGCGGAAGATGCAGCACAAGTTGACGTGCCAAGTCGAAAGCTTATTGATCCTCGAATTATTTCCTTTGCGACGGTGAAGTCGCATGCCGCGTGCTTTGGCCGGAGCTTGCGATAATCCGAGACGTGATCTGGTAGCGATAAGTGCACAGACCACACCTTAAATTTGATGGGCTCATGACGACGAAAGAACTTTTCTACCTAAAGAACAAAATCATGAGAGTGACAGAATCAAAATAAGTTAGTCTTGGAGGCCATTATGTAATAAGAAGTGAAAACTGCAGGAATTCTTCTTTCTTTCATCATTACCATATGTCTAATACCTACCTACCCAAGGTAGGTACTACCTTAGTACCTAGCCACTGGCGGAAGTCGGATTTCAAGCAAGGAACCTGGAAAGAACGATGGAGGGGCAATGAGTAAAGAGTGCCCCACCATTTGTCGCCGATGCAGGAGGACTCATAGTCATCACCTCAACTTTTTCCACGGGTAATCAATCTTCACTCGTTCACGACTTGATTCCACAACCTACATGCTAAGCTTTCGACTATAATCGATACCAATTGAATTCATCTGGTTCGTTGCCAAGATGGAGACAACTCTACCACTGCCATTCTTGGTGAGTATTGGCAGCCCAGATGGCCAGGCTACCAATGATGGCCTCACTCGTCAAGAGATTGCCCTTCTGGGAGCTCCTTTCTATGAGACAGCTTCTAAGGATTGGGGTCGCCCCAGTGCCGGAACCAATGTTCACATGGATGCCACGAGTTTAAGTGACCCAGACGATGTGGTTGCGTTGCTCGATGGCGGGGTTCGAACAGTTTTTGTTGCTTCAGAGTCCTACTCAGAGTATACAGAATATGGCGCAAGAGTCATTCCCACTACTTCTTCCCTTGAAATTTCCACAGCTTCCGAAAATGGTCTGTTGGTAAAGGATTTCGACATTGCATCTAGCGGCGTCGACAAATTTGTTGAGGAAGCATGTGCCAAGAAGATCAAGAGCCTTTACATTAAGCCAACTCCCAATACCGATATCGAAAAGTTCATCGAAATTGCCAAGAAGGCCAATGCCATCCCTATCATTCCGTCTACAGGGTTGACGACCGACAAGAACGATTCGAGTCGAATATTGTTATCTAAGATTATCGCATCATTCTGGAAATCTGATCGACCTGACGGCCTGATTCCTACTGTGGTTACCGATGATGCCGGGATCGCATTGGGTCTCGCCTATACCAGTGAGGAGAGTATTCTGGAGGCTCTTAAAACACAAACCGGAGTTTACCAGAGTCGCAAACGTGGTCTCTGGGTGAAGGGACTTACTTCTGGAGACACTCAGGAACTGTTGCGAATTGGTCTCGACTGTGACAACGACACTCTCAAATTCGTGGTCAATCAGAAGGGCCGTTTCTGCCACCTCCAGCAGTTTGGTTGCTTTGGAGACCTCAACGGCATTTCAGCACTCGAACAGACACTCAAGTCTCGCAAGGAGTCTGCGCCCGAGGGTTCTTACACGGCCCGCTTATTCTCCGATGAGAAGCTTCTGCGAGCAAAGATCATGGAGGAGGCAGAGGAGCTCTGCGATGGCAAGACCAAAGAGAACATCGCTTTCGAAGCTGCTGATTTGATCTACTTTGCTTTAACTAAGGCTATTGGCGCAGGTGTTAGCCTCGCAGACATTGAGGCCAACCTGGACGCCAAGAGCTTGAAGGTCAAGCGAAGAACAGGCAATGCCAAGGGAAAGTGGGCGGAGAAGGAGGGTATCAAGACCGATGCAGCCCCTGTGAAGCCCTCACAGCCAGAAGTTGAGAAGTCAGCTGATGGTTGTATTGCTATGGAGCGAGTTGATGCCTCAAAGATCTCCGAGGCCGATCTCGTAGAGAAGCTCAAGAGACCTTCTCAGAAATCCCCAGACGCCATCTTGAAGATCATACAGCCTATCATTGAGGACGTGCGAACTGGCGGCGACAAGGCTGTTCTGTCTTACACCCACAAGTTTGAGAAGGCCACTTCATTGACATCACCTGTGCTGAAGGCTCCCTTCCCCAAGGAGCTTATGGATATCTCGCCTGAGACTATTGAAGCTATTGACGTCTCTTTTGAGAATATCCGAAAGTTCCACTCTGCACAGCAGGAGGAGAAGTCCCTCCAGGTTGAGACTATGCCTGGCATTGTCTGTAGCCGCTTCTCGAGACCCATTGAGAGAGTCGGTCTTTACATCCCTGGTGGAACCGCTGTTCTTCCCAGCACTGCTCTGATGCTTGGAGTTCCAGCTATGGTGGCTGGTTGCCAGAAAATTGTATTTGCCTCACCTCCCAGATCTGATGGTCGCATTACCCCTGAAATTGTCTACGTTGCTCACAAGGTCGGTGCTGAGAGCATTGTACTGGCTGGTGGTGCTCAGGCTGTTGCCGCTTTGGCTTATGGTACAGAGAGTGTCACCAAGGTTGACAAGATTCTTGGACCTGGTAACCAATTTGTGACTGCGGCCAAGATGCACGTCAGCAACGATACCAATGCTGGCTGCGGTATTGACATGCCAGCTGGACCCTCTGAGGTTCTTGTTGTTGCTGACAAGGATGCCAACCCTGCTTTTGTTGCCTCCGATCTTCTTTCTCAAGCCGAGCACGGTGTCGATAGTCAGGTCATTCTGCTTGCTGTTGGCCTCAGTGAGCAGGAGCTCCAGGCTATTGAGGACGAAGTCCACAAACAAGCCCTTGCTCTTCCTCGTGTCGATATCGTCCGAGGATCTATCGCTCACTCCGTCACTGTCCAGGTCAAGGACATCGAAGAGGCAATGCGCATCAGCAACGAGTATGCCCCTGAACACCTCATCCTTCAAATCAAGGATGCCGAGAAAGCTGTTGATCAAGTCATGAACGCTGGCAGTGTGTTTATTGGTCACTGGACCCCTGAGAGTGTTGGCGACTACTCTGCTGGTGTCAACCACTCTTTGCGTAAGTTCCCTCATTAGTTTTTGGTATTCGATTGATGCTAACGACTTTCACAGCTACTTATGGTTTCGCCAAGCAGTACTCTGGTGTCAACTTGGGCTCGTTCCAGAAGCATATTACCAGCTCCAACCTTACTGCTGAAGGTCTCAAGAATGTTGGCACCGCCGTCATGCAACTGGCCAAGGTCGAGGAGCTTGAGGCTCATAGAAGGGCTGTGGAGATCCGACTTGACTACTTGAAGCAACAGCAGTAGAAAGGGACATACTACAAGAACGGGAAAAAAGGCGTATGTAGACAACAGATGGATTTTCTTTAGGACAGGGGCGCGGGCTTGGGGATAGATGTTGTTTCAATATGCACACAGACCACGGTGCTCAAGAATAAAATGTAGCTTGCTCAAGTAGTATCTTTTAGCCTGTCAAACATCAAAAGCTTTTGTCTGTCAGAATGCCATGATTCAATCACTACAAGTACAATGAAATGCTCAACGCCGCGCTATGCCTCAGTATGTAAAACCACTTTCTCCCTCTGGTCGCCTCCATCCATCTCCTCTTATCCATTGAGATGAAACTCTCGCCATCAATGTCTATGAAAAACAACCCATAAGCACTCGAAAAAGAAACGCCTTTGAATTCGTTACACCTTACTGCCTGTTGGGAGCAGCAGCAACAGCCTCGGTGGCCTGTTCGTGATACTTAGCTTTCCTGCACTGCACTTCATTTCTCAATGGTGAGATGACCAACCCCTGTTATGTGTTGGGCGAGAACGTCCTCCTTGAGCTGACCTTGACGCCTTTGTCCAATGGGAGCAGCGTCAGGGGCTCCGTCGCCCTTGTGTTCGTCTTGATGGCCCTCCTCGCCATCTTCGTAAATCTCTTCTTCATCCTCCTCGTCGTAAGCCTCTTTCAAGTCGCGTGTCATAGACGCCTTGAGACGCTCTTCGTCGACGCTACCGCCCAAAACACTTGCGGCTTCGGCAAACTCATCCATAGATGCTCGAGAGATGTAGCTATCGGCAAGTCCTTCGCCAATCTCGTCCACATCTTCATCTATTTCGCCATCCTCGTCGTCATATTCCTCCTCATCATCACCATACTCGCTGGTAGGTGCTCCTGGGCCGTCCTCCTCATCGTCATCGTCACTCTCGCTTGCTGAAAAGTCAGCCATGGCAAGAGGATCGTCTCTCCAATACGTGAAGTCCGTGTACTCCTCGCCGCCACCTTTTACCAGTGTGCTCACGGGGGGGAAGTAATGGTCAACGACTTCGTTGATATTCACGTAGCTCATTTTGAGCTTGTTGAGTGTCAGTAGATCAAGGGACACTTCAGAGTTGGAATTGATGGTGAAGATGCGGTTTCGAGGGACATCGACGGTCCGGTAAGAGATTTGATCGGTCAAACGATTTCCGTAGCCGGCATAAAAGGGATGACGATCTGGGCCGTATAAGTTTCGAATGTCTCGAAGAGTGGCCATCTTGAAGATGTGGGGTTTGCGAAGGTAGACCTCTCGCCTCAGTGCAGCCATGGTTCTATCAGGCGACAGGATTGTAGGACCAGGCGGCATCCTGTAGCCATCCTGGACGATACCCGCCAGATAGGCTCTTGTCGTGTCCGATTGTCCAACGGATCGACTGGTAAGGTACATGATATTATAACCATTGGCGGAAATATCGCTGTACAATTTGGCTACACCTGAGTGAGTCCAGTCACGGCCAATCATGTTCAACACGTGGCCGAGGGCATCCGACTTGGTAATAGTACCGTCAATATCTGAGATGACGACAGGCGTCTCATGCCTCCAGAGGTACATGTTTGCTTTGCAGGTAGCTCGGTTGACAGTGAAAGCCATCGAGTTCGCGCCTGGCTGGAGCTTCAGATCCTTGAGCTGCTGACTAGTCAATCGCAAGGTCTTGGCGTAATTCCTGTTGGGATCTCCTGCGTGGCCAGATGAGCTCGGCGGGGTGCGGGGAGGAGTTTGCAAATCCATAGGGCCAGCGTCGGACTCGGCTCTTCGATGCAAGGGAATGGGAGAAGCAGTTGCATCGCTGCTGTCACTCTGATAGCCGGGATCAGAAATAGCATCGGCTGCAGTAGCCCTGCGGTGAGACTGCAAAGACGCCTCGATAGTCTTGTTCATAGCGGCCTGCTTGGCCTCTTCGCTGCTGTAAATCCATAAGTTTCCCTGCTCGTCGAAACCAATGAGTGCGCCGATGTCGTAGTTTCCATCCAACTCTTCGGAAAGAATCTGGCGAGCCAAAATCTCAGCCCGAAGAATGTCCTCCTCGTTTCCCTTGAACCCATTCATGTCCAGCATCAGATCACCGCTGTCTGTGACCTTTGTGGGTATGCTTGCGGCAGAGAGTCCCTTAGACAAGGCCCTGGCACGTTCGAGAGCCTCGCCCGGTGCCAGAGGCGGAGGACTAGAGGACCGTTCAGAAGCAACATGCTCATCGTCATCGGCGGAACTGTTTCCGTCTAGACCTCGGCTTCTAGCACTGGCACGGAGAATATCGTCACTGTGTGGTCGGGGTACCCTTGACGACCAGTCGCCGGATGCTGGGCGGACGCTGGACAGCTCTGGAGAAGTCGAAAGTGGTGTGATCAAGCCTGCTCTCTTGTTAGCACTTGTTTATTGGAGAGGGTAGCTGATGCATACCATTGCCGTCGTCTTTCTTATAGAGCACGGACGGGAGCGGTCGTCGCAGCTTGGATTCTGAAGCGTCAAGCTCGAACGCTTCTGGCTCCTGTAAACCAGATTCTGACTGTTCTGGGTTGAGTGGTGGGCTGCTCGCAGGACTGGAAGCGGGAGAAACGAGCGGCGATGTCTGTAGCGACTGTGGGATCCTGTCTGTAGTCTCGAAGACGAAGAAGGCCTCGCCGCCTTCGCCAAGTTTCATGGAATAGCTTTGTTTGACGCCATTGACCTTGAATTCGACCTTTTTGTCCGACGGCCTTAGGAGAGAGAACTTTCCGAACCGAACATGGAACGGCGAGCAGACCAGAGTGCCATCTTCGTGTTCGACGACAATGACATCAATAGCACCACTGAGAGTCGCAGGGTTGATTGAATTCCAGGCTGTCGAGACGGACTCGCTGAGGCCGCGCACGTATTGCATCTTGCCTCTTACGGCAGAGGACGTCGTTTGGGAAAGATCTTTCTGTTGTTGGTGTTGATCGCGAGTTGGAGAAGCTGGAGCGGCCTGTCGCGGGGGATATAAAACGACGATCCGATGGAAGGGCTCAACGACACTGAGAAGCTCCAGAAGGGAAACGAAACAGCAGCAGGTGACAAGAGCCCGGGGCCCTAAAAGAAGTTTATCTGATTACGGAGGGGAGACTTAAGCGTAAGGCGATCCAAAGGTATGCAGTCGAAATTCTAAGGCGAGTTAGACAGAGCAGAAAAGATGGATTGGAATGTGAAATGTTGGGGGAGTAGGTGCAGGTACAGATTGGTTTGAGGCGGGTTGAGCGCAAGGCAATGGACAACGGAGGTACCGAGTACAAAGAGACGCTTGCTGTGGTTGAGCGGGCTTGGCCTGGTCACTTTTTTTCCCCTTACCCCAGTCGCCGAGTCGATTAGATCAGGTGAAGACGTCACCAGGATTAGAGAAGTGGTTTTACTTGGAATTTTGAAGTCCTAAACAACAACAAAAATGAAGTTGTTTGGATTGAAACATCGCAGAAACGAGTGTGTAGTAATTTCATCATAATTTGGAGGCGTCTTACCCCCGTGCCACGGCACACCTCATAGAAGCAGAGGAACAGCATGCAGTCAGCTAAGAATGACGAAGTCGCTGTAACAGAATTGCCATGAGGGGCGTCCCAACATGGCACTGCCGTAGTACCAGGTACAAAGAACGCTATCCCCAGCTCGCATGGGTCTAGACGTCCGCCAGAATCATGATGGATGATGGATGCCCCAGCAGAATCTATCACATGAACGGCTCATGCGGACTAAGTTGCCGAGTTAAGACTCCAATCATTCGGTTTTCGGATACTTTTTTGTAAGGGGATTCTATAAATCTGATTAGTTTTTAGTTTTCACAGCCGAATGCGTCATATTATATTCTGGTACATACTGTTCTCCCAAGTTCTGTCGTTGAACTGATCCTGTTGCTGGCTGATATTAATTGGTTGGCGCCGATAGGCTGTAAAATCTGCAGGGATTTAACATGGCTTTGTTCAACGGTTGAAACATAGAAGCATACTCGAGTCAACCCATGCCCGAGGTTACAAGTCATTCAATTCCGGCGGCTTTGCTCCGTCTGGGTTTACTTGATCATCACCACCGCTACTATACCTCTCTATCGACAGCACTCGTTGGTATTACTCTGGCGACATTCTATATATTCCAAATTCATATTTAATATCACTCTAACCAAAACTCGGATAAGCTCTCTGTTTCTCTAAAATATTCTGTTGTTCTTTCAACTCTATGTGTAATAACGGATTTTGACTTACACGCTGACCGCTTTGTATGAACCGAGGCAGGTATCCAGGATTCGTCAGGCGTTAGATCACTATCCCAGCATATGAATTCACTCTGGCATAAATAGATAGAGTAAAATTTCTCCTAGGTATATTCTAAATGTTGAAAACATATGTTCCTTTGTCTGACCAGCCTTGCACAGTACATATTAAACAAACCGCCTTTACCCACCTTACCCTGTAAGTTTAGACAGTCACCAAACGCCCTAGCTTTGTGTGCGATATGGATGCAAGTCTTGATACAATCTTACATTCTGATAAATATTTATGCTGTCTCATCACATATAGCCTCAAGTCAACCTGACAACTTTGCTTGGTGGTAGTATTCAACAAGTACCTGCTACTTCAGAAGATATTTCTTAAAGCAGCAGTGGGGGGATTGGACAACAAGCCGCGGTCCAAGCACATGCTGATCTAACACTGAAAAAATTCACATCGCTCTGTTATAGGTTGAGAAATCTCAGATCTTTAAGACGTTCATGATTCGTTCCCTTGTTTCCTCTCAAGCTCGATCCATTGCCAAGAAGGAAAATGCTACGGTAAAAGACGCTGTGCCGAGGTGATATTGATGTCATTGATCGATCGAGACTCGTGTTTGCAACTCGCTTGCTACGTTTTATGGAGTGAAACAGACTGTTAGGGGACAAGGCACAGACAGCCAAATCAAATCGTTCATCCAAGGTAGACCCTACTTATCGAACAATATCAGACCCAGAGGTGGAAAATGTTCAACCCGGCGCCAACAAATTCACATGCTTGAAGAAAGCGAGCATGCCGAGTTCAGAGTCGATAGTGTCCATCAGTCTGTTGGCATGAGGCAGGGATTACAACTCCAGGTTGAGTAAAGCCTCGGAGAAAGGCTCATGCCTTCTCGGACAAGACACGGGCACTAGAAAAAGCCTTACAAGCTGAAGATGAGGCGGCAACCGGCAATTGCAGGCTTCCAAAGCTGATAATACATAATGACAGTGTCGATGAAGACTTATCGTTTGACCATAACAAGGATGATAAAGCATTTATTATCCGAGTGAACCCAGTGAGAGCATCCATGATCAGAGGCAGATTGTTGACCAATTGTCCAACGCACTTTCTAAGCCTACCTACCTATACTATCGAATCCAATGCCGCGTAAATATGCAGACATTGTGTACTGTTGAGGGCTAACAATGGTAAGGAACTCGCCTATCGTGCACATTTGGCGCCCTCGTCCGCTCTCTGCAGGGTGTAAAACGGCAGAAACCCTAAATTGGCCTTGTTCACAATGGTAATGAATGATGCCGTGCAGACGGGACCCCATTATTAAGACCCGAGCCGTTGGGAAAAACTCAGCCATGTCGTGTCTTCCGTGAGCGTGAAACTTCCAATCTGACGCAAACATCACCAGTGACGTTTACATTTACAAGGGACTGCGAATCCGTTCACGGACGCTAGCTAGTAGCGCGCCATGTTCGTGAGTGCATTCCTACAGTTTTACGTGAATACCAACACTATAGACTATGAGTATAGGTTGGTAAGAATTGGTTGCAATCGATAATATATAACTTTGTTGGAAAAACGTTTACTGGTAATGTATAAACAGCGGATTCTGGTAACCACAGCATTGCTTGAAAAACTGCGACAAGCTCGTGGCAAACGTTATTCAAATACAGTGTAATGAAAACAGTGATAACCGTCGTATCTTGCATGAAAGATCGCCGCCAAGCAGGGTAACATGGCGCACATTTATCAACGCTTTGAGGACTAGGACACGCAAAGCACCGTGCCATTGCCTGACGAGAGACACTGTATCTCAGCAAGAACCTAACAGCAGAACAGCGCTGTGGCTGAGAATTTGCACGCTGCAACCATAACTACCTAACGAGACAACACTAACACCAACAGGGCCGCTGAAATCTCCACCCTTGCCCATGACCACGCTGTCTCTCTAACTACTAACCTAGGTTAGTAGTCAACTCAAGGTCTACTAGGACCAAGACCAAGACCATCCTTACCCATGCCCGCCTTTTTTTCACCCACTGTTGGCATCGGCATCTGCCTCAAGGATCCTCCCCTCCCACACGACACCCTGAGCTTGGATTTGGTATCGGTATCGGAACTGGACTTGGACTCCTCTCGGTGGTCTGGAAGAGAAGGACAGCAACATCTTCCACCAAGATCGAGACCGCTGAGAACATGTCATGGGAGTTGCCCGTCTTGACCACTCTCATCCTCAGCGTACTTGGCTTCTGGTGGATCTGTAGCCCTCGCGCCAGCTACCAGAAGGCCCTGCTCTACCTCTTGCTGTGCAGCAGTTTCACCGTCTTCTTCGATCCTCGTCGTCTGATCGAGTACCTGTCCCCCGCCACGGTCGAAGCATTGCTGGATTTCCGCATCCATGTGCTTTTGATCCATCACTCCAAGATGGTCTTGACACTTGGTGCTGTCGTTTGGTGAGTCAACCTCCTCTGTCTCGCCCCTAGTCAACGATTAGAAAACAACCAAACCCCTTTACTTGGACCGCGCTGACCATTGATCCTCTCTCATTACAGGCTACTGCATCGCTCGTGGCAGACGTTATGGAAACCCGTTCCAGACCTCATCAATATCCTCGGGGTCGACGTGCCTGAACCTCCAGATGTTTCCCTCGCTGGCATTCGATCCGATGCTGCTACTCTGAGCTGGACTCGCCCAACCAGTAATCGGCCGGTACAAAAATATACTATCCAAGTCAATGGCGTTCATGGTCGGTCTTACTGTCGAGATCTATCTCGGAACCTTCGGTAGAGGAAAATATCAAACCTTGACTAACACGCTCCATATAGTCGGCGAATCACCGGGAAACGAAGTCGCGATCACTGTCACAGGATTGAAGCCAGATCACTTTTACAATATCAGGGTCGTTGCTGTCGGCCCGAATAACTTTCAGGCTGGAAGTCAAGTTTTACGACTTCGAACATTCGGAAAAGATGGCAGACCCCAGTTAGGTAACTCACGTGTACCTACCAGCTTTCCTAATAACGACCACTCTCATCCAAAAAATGGTGATGAAGATGACGATTCCGACTCGCAAAAGAAGCCTCCAGTGCCGTCTGTTGAGGCGGCCCCTGTGCTTGATGGCAACAACGCGTCCACCTCTGACGTTAGCGCTACCGGTCCAAGCCAGCGACGAAATACAGTCAACCGACGACACTCCCCGTCCGTTGCCAGCATGGACCAACCTCAGATCAAGCTTCCACCTGTAGATGGCCCGGAGCTATCGCTGGACGAATTGAATCGCCGTTTCGAAAACACTCGGAAGGAAGTCGACGAGACTTTGGCCCAGTATGCCAAGGAAGAGGCTGAACTACAGCAACAAGAAGAAGAGCTTAAGCAAGAGAAAGATGCCAAGAGGCAGGCGCTTAAAGAGAAGGAGGAGCAGACCGCCCAACTCAAGGCTAGCGTCCGTACTACCATGGAGCAAATGCGTACAGCGGAGAAGGACCGCGCGAGAAAAGAGCAGCAGCTGAAGGACAAGGAAAATAAGAAGTCCAAGATCCGAGATACTGCTTCAAAGCTCGAGAATGAGATGGAGAGGATGAAGAAAGAGAGGGAAGGGTTCGAAGCGCAGAAGAAAGAGCTGGAAGCTAAGCGGGATAAAGACGGCCAGGAACTCGACGACTCCAATACAGAGCTGCAGGAGAAATGTGCCGAGCTAGAGGCCGAGTTGAAGGAGAAGGGAAAACAGCTCCAAGACCTCAAGGCTGCTCGAGAGCAACTTCCGGGTGGCGATGATGAACAGTGGAAGGAGAATGACTTGAACGTGCGAAGAGAATGGGATGCCAGGAGAAAGGAACTGCACAATCAGCTCGTCGCCGAAACCAAGAAGCTTCATAATCTTGACCAGCAGATACGCTTTCTCAAAGAAGAGCAGCATCAGTTGGCGCTCTACTACAGCAGCCAACCAGACCCCACTGCTATGGAGTTTGAGCCCGCTGCCTCCCAAGATGCTCTCGACAGCGGAAATATCAATTCCCTTTCCCACATTAACTTGTCACCTCCGCCCAACCAATTCGGCCCCCCCGAAGACGCATTCTCAACTGGCTTTAGTCGGGCTGGATTCAGCCAAATATTATTCATGGATCACAATGCAGCCGACAATGCCGATGATCACCAGTCAGAAGCCGACTTCAGGGCGAACGCGGGACCACTCAGCCCTACAGCCCATGCTCTTCTCCCTTCAGGAATCTTTGACGAGACGTTTGAGGATGCTGAAGAGCATCTGCCTAGCAAATTCTTACCAGACTCTGTTACTGCCGCCGAGGAAGATAACCCGCAGTCGCCACTGTCTTCCGATGGACGCTCTCTCAACATGTTTTCCAGTCCTCAAGGCTCATCACATAACTTGCCCTTCCCCCAGTACAACGACGTGGACTCTCATTCTCTGAACATTAACTCTTCTCCTCAACAAGCACCTCTCGCATCAAGCCACAGACTGTCCAACCTCTTATCTAACTTTCAACGGAACAGGGGTCCGAAGCCGGCAGATGTGGAAGGACCCGCGATTGGCAGTCTCAAAGCAGGACAGAGCCAATCATTTCCCCGAAGCACTGATGATCACGACATGCCGGGTAACAAGCGCAGGATGAGCTTCACTTGGATGAGGCACTCCGGAGGTGAAACCAACAGATCAAGCCTGGGGCCTACGTCTAGGCCGTTCTCTGCCAAGAGACTCAACCCCTTTGCCAGTAGTGCTGGAGCTCTTACAGGCGACAATGACTTACCACACTCACGACCCGCATCGATCACATCCATTGATCTCCCTCGACCCTCAACAGACAGCGGCTCTATCTGGAACATTCCTGGGGATTTCTCCATGCTGGGGAAGAAGGGAGTCTGGTCTCCGAACGAAGGACGCTGGTCCTCTAGGAACCCGTCTCGCCGACCTTCGCTCGGCGCAGTACCGACTGTGCTCGAAACAACCCTTGCCACAGCCAATGATGAGATCCTTGACGATGACGATCTCCTTGACCCTCAAACATCGCCTAGCCAGGTCGGCGTTATCGGATCTCGTCCCCCAAGTCACCGTGCGTCCATGAGTCGACATCTCAACCCAGCGGCACCGACCTTCAGGACACCCTTCTTTACCCGTAGAGAGAGGGATGCAAGTCCTGATAAGGATAAGTTAAGAGGCAAGGATAAAGAGAAACGCGGAAAGTCTAAGGAAGGCCGCACGAAGGGCAAGGAAGTTCTGACCCCGACCATTGAAGTGCCTCCAAGCCTTGATGATTCACCTTCAGATTCGCGGATGTCTCGCGACACGTATTCTGTTCATACACAGAACTCGATATCGGAATCTCATGAGTCTTTGGATCTAGGAATGACAGCCTCGAATTCTACCACCGACAACAACGCCGCAAGCCACAAGGATGCTGACAGTAGCGTTGTCAAGAAATTGTTCAGGAAAGGAAGTTCTAGTAAGTTCAGTACCTTGTCTTCCAGGCTGAGCAAGGATTCCGTCCTTTTCAAGAAAGGACCTGGCAGCAGTACGTTCTCAGAGAAGAATATGTCAGCAGAGCATCGTTCCAGCATCGGCGATGCAGACGAAATCGGGGAAGATCTATCGCAGCTTGGCCGCAGTTACGAAAGCGTGACCAGCAGCCCGTCGCTGGGCCAGGGCAGTTTCAAATCAAAGGAGGCCCCTAAAGAGGGTCGCATGGGCATGGGAACATGGCGGTTCTCGATGAAAAAGAAGAGCAAGGAGCCTGCGTCAAAAGAGAAGGAAAGTATGGAAAGTGACAGGCATGCAGATGAGTAGAGAGTGTACATTGTTGAGATATACATTATTCATGCGTAGCAGCGTTGAGGTTATGTGTAAAGCGGAGTAGCGCATTTGGCATGAGGCATTAGGCATTAGCATTTGGCAACAGTGGATAGTAAATCATATACAGCCTACGGGTTATTCACAGCATTAGTAATCGCATCTCAACCATTATAAGCCATGGAAATCCGATCATCATTATGTGATTTGCTATGCTACCTTATAGAACAATACCTACCTACCTAGCTTTCAAGTTGAAGGGTCAGGGGAAGTTCAGCCACAATACATCGTGGCAGCTTACCTACTGCATCCAGGGGTGGCCCGCTTTTAGCCATCATGGCTCTTGACACGTGCAAGGAGCTTCCTCATGCTCACATCGAATAGCGAATTCTGCTTGATGTTGGAATATCCTAGACTCTGAATGACCGAACATCTTCCATAATGAATGGGACTTACCCAGAGGCTTCAGCTCTCGACGCTGGTGAGTTGATGCTGAAGCTGAAGCCCGCTATCCCTTTGCGACTAATCCCAACGCTTCTGAATAGTCGACTACGATGCTATAGACCACCTCAATCTTCTCTTCTCGCACCCGTCCGCCATATCGTCTATAAGCGAAGTGTCCAAATCACTGCAGATCCACCAAAGTGCGCTTTCGAACGACATAGCCACACTCGAGACGAACCAGGCTTATGGATCCGACTCGAGCCTCGAGCGTATGCAGTCGGCGCAAGCTGAGCTAGCACAGCTATTTCGAAAGATCGAGACGGTGCGCTCGAGAGCGATTGAGACCGAACAGAACATCACGTCGATGACGGCCGACATAAAGAGACTCGATGGAACGAAGAAGAACCTCACGCTGAGCATGACGGCCCTCAAGAGGCTGCAGATGCTGACAACGGCTTATGAGCAGCTCAGGGGCTTGGCCAAGACGCGCCAGTATAGGGAGTGCGCAGGGCTCTTGCAGGCTGTTCTGCAGCTCATGAAACACTTCAATAGCTATCGCAGTATCGAGCAGATCGCGACGCTGAGCAGAGGTGTGGCCGAGCTGCAAAGAGAACTACTGGAACAGGTCTGCGAAGACTTTGAAATGGCATTTGCTAAAGGAGAAGTCGGCGCGCGAAGAGGCACACTTGTTGAAGCATGCCTAGTCATGGATGCCCTTGGAGAGTCTGCCAAGGCTCGGCTCATGAATTGGTACGTCAATACAGAGCTTCGAGAATACAGACAGGTGTTCCGCGGTAACGACGAGGCTGGAAGTCTGGACAACATTGGGCGGCGATATGCCTGGTTCAAACGAATGATGAAGACTCACGATGACGAACACGCTGTGATATTTCCTCCACACTGGAGGGCTAATGAGACCTTGGCAGCAGCTTTCTGCGACGGTACTCGAGATGATTTCAAGGGCATCCTGGAACGAAGCATGCGACGGACAGACGGTAACAAGATCGATGTCAATCTGTTGTTGAGTTGCCTTCAAGAGACACTCGACTTTGAGCAGAGCCTCGAGAAGCGATTCGCGACTTCATCGAGGGCCAGCATCGATACGCTCAGCTCTGTTGAGGAAAAGGCGCATAGTTTCCACGGATTGATCTCAGTCGCATTCGAACCATACTTGAGTTTGTGGGTTGAGTCGCAAGATAAACAATTGGCAGTCATGATACCCAAGTACCGCAGCCAACCGCTCATACCGCCTGATGACGAGTTCTCACCACAAGCCGTCATTGCCTCGGCCATTGAGTTATTCCACTTTTACAAACTCACGTTGTCACAATGCGCGAAACTTTCTACGAGTGAGCGTCTTCTTGATTTGGCAAAGATACTGGCCAAGTATCTCGATGAATATGCCCAGCAGGTCTTGCTACACATATTACAGTCTGGTGGACCTCAAGGGCCTCCATTGCAGGATGTTGTGCTTGTGTTGAATACAGCAGACTTTTGGCACATCAACACTAATCAGCTGGAGGAAAGCATCAAGAAACGCATTGACAGTGAGCTTGTTTCTAAGGTCGACTTGTCTTCACAATCAGATGCCTTTCTCGGTGTAGCGAGTGCTTCTGTTCTAGCTCTCGTTCGCGCGGTCGAGCTTGACTGTGAAGGCGTCTGGCGCGAGATGAGGAATACCAATTGGAGCACAATGGAGAGCGTTGGTGACCAGAGCTCATATGTGGGAGTGCTGGTAAAACATGCTGATGGAAAGGCAGCTGAGATATTAGCTATTATCTCGAAGCAACAGTACGCCAGGGCCTTCTGTGATAACTTAGTGGAGCACTTGGCCACAGGGTACATTACTAGCATTATTCAATGCCGACCGATATCCGAAGTTGGTGCCGAGCAGGTATGTTATCTGAGCAGTTCGAGTCATGGTGTATGCTAACAAGTGGGTTTGTAGATGTTACTTGACAAATATGTTCTCACCAAAGCCCTCGAGAAGTTACCTATGCATCATGCATCATTCTCAGGGCATGAAACTCCCCCTTCCAGTTTTGTGCGCAGAGTTCAGCATTGCATGAACAGACTTGATCCATTGCTCAAGACACTTCAAGTTCGGCCATCACCGCCGGAAGGTTTGGTGCAGGCGTATTTGATTCATATTGCGGATCGGTCTGATACAAATTTCAAGAAGATCCTCGATCTCAAGGGCGTTCGGAAAGCGGACCATGCTCATCTGATAGAGCTCTTCGGCATTCACCGCGACAGCACTCCCAACGATAAATTGGTAGCCAGCTCGCCATTGCTCACACCTCTCATGACTACCCCAAGCCTGGGTAACACAGTCCCGCTTGGGGTGATGAGCCCATCAGTCGCAGCGGCTGTTAGCCCGCGGTTCGAAGCAGGATCACTAGGTGAGAAGCTTCTAAGTGCGGCAAGAGATATCAGCCAGAGCAGCACGAGCACTGCAGCACAGACGGGACTCGAGAAGGCCACGATAAATGAGAACTTGCGGAACTTTGGCAAGTTCTTCAAGAGAGACATTGGATCGTTAGGAGCGAGGTTTGGAAAGCGAGACGGCAGCGTCGGTGCTGAGGAGGGACGATAGAGCGTAGATTACACATGATGTCTAAGTTAGATTAAACCAATCGTGTCATATGAGCCGGATGCCGAGTTACGAGCTATCTACGGTTTACTAGTGTTGATTGTTCGGAGCCTTATCCCTGGTTATCATGAGGAATCAATTAAACCTCCGTCGGCACCTCATCTCGCAGACATCCGAAATCCTTGCCACATTCGGTAATAGACGGATTAGTCATGGCCCGTTAACTAGGTACCTAGATCTGAAGATTGATAAAGGCAACCATTGGGAAAGAAAGTCAAATCAAGTCATCCATCCATCCCCTTCTAAGCCTTCTAAGCCCGTCCTGAGCGCCTCATCGAGTGACATCTCCACAACCCGGCTTAGAAATCCTTCTATCCAATCACATCTTCCCTCTCCATCTCCATCCTCAAAATTGATTCCATCTCCTGTCTGCATTTGCATTGCATCAATCCCCACATTCACCACGTTTCTCTACCTCTTCCAAGCTATTCTCTCAGGGTTCATCCGCCGAAACCGCTCTATTTTTTTTTTTACCGCCCCTCAACCGTCCCTCAGTAGCGACTCAGTCCATAGGTACATGCTTTGCTAGTGGCGTTTTCCGTCTTTGATCCATCCATATTAAAAGAATCGCGACAGCCCACCTTTTCTTTCTCACCTATAATTCCCCCTCCAACACCGCCAAACTGTTCTCCTCAACGTTTAAACGCGTTACTCTCCGTTCCAGCGCTGGTCTATCGATTGCGGCAGCGGCGACTACTTTTCATAAAACTACGAGAAAACCGGCTGTAGATTTTGGTGTTAGAAAGATGCATAGCAAGGTTGTCAGTATGTGCTTGTCCATATCCATATCCATCCATGCCCATGCCCTCGTGCTTGTTGCCCCTCCATCATGAAACCCCTCCTCCAAAAATCTACAAGTCTGACGAGAATCATTAGTTATCGGCTCAGGGCCTGCTGCCCACACAGCTGCTGTCTACCTGGCGCGAGCTGAATTGAAGCGTAAGATTCACTTATTCTACCAGTTCTGAAGACTAACTGACACCCCATAGCCGTTCTCTATGAGGGCTTCATGGCCAATGGCATTGCTGCTGGTGGTCAATTGACCACCACCACCGAGGTCGAGAACTTCCCCGGTTTCCCCAAGGGCATCATGGGCGGCGAGTTGATGGTAAGCTTTTGCTTCTTCCTCGGTAACTCGTGAGTAACTAACACAACATCTAGGACAACATGAGAGCCCAGTCCGAGCGCTTCGGCACAGAAATTGTCACCGACACCGTCACCACCCTCGATCTCTCCTCCCGCCCCTTCAAGTATAGCACCGAGTTCTCCCCCGAGGAGACACACACCGCCGATTCCGTCATCATCGCCACCGGTGCCTCGGCCCGCCGTCTTAACCTCCCTGGCGAGGACAAGTACTGGCAGAACGGTGTCTCCGCCTGCGCTGTCTGCGACGGGGCCGTCCCCATCTTCCGCAACAAGCCTCTCTTCGTTATCGGCGGTGGTGATTCTGCCGCCGAGGAGGCTACTTTCCTCACCAAGTATGCCAGCCACGTCACTGTCCTCGTTCGTCGCGACGTCCTCCGTGCCAGCCGAACCATGGCCAACCGTCTCCTTAACCACCCCAAGGTCACCGTCAAGTTCAACAGCGGCGCCACCGAGATCCGAGGTGGTGAGGATGGTCTTATGAGCCACCTCGTTGTCAAGAACAACAAGACCGGAGAGGAGGAGGTCCACGAGGCCAACGGTCTCTTCTACGCCATCGGCCACGACCCCGCCACTACCCTTGTCAAGGGCCAGGTTGACATGGACGAGGATGGCTACATCAAGACCGTTCCTGGAACCACATACACCAATGTCGAGGGTGTCTTTGCCGCTGGTGATGTCCAGGACAAGCGATACCGACAGGCCATCACCAGCGCCGGTACCGGATGCATGGCTGCCCTCGAGGCCGAGAAGTTCCTCGCTGACCATGAGGATGACCAGCGAGCTGACGACCGACCCAACCCCAACTAAAAAACAAATAGACATAGACACCTAAAAATCTTAAATCATAGACTTGCGCCATTTTAGACGGGATATAGATATCTACATAAGGAGCAGGAGCAGTCGAAACTTTCAATCTAATCCACTTCACGTTTGCATGATATACAGAAAGTTCCAAACCAGAGTCTTTCAATATCTTTATCATTACTTGTGATCAATGTATTTCATAACCTACACAAAGATCTTTCAAACAACTTTTAGCGGCCAAACCTAGGACCACAGCATCGTAATGTCGTCCTGGCTGGTAATGGTATCATCTACTTTCTTCTTACTCTCGCCACAGGAGAGTAGGGGGCGTAATCTCTGTGCCCTTGAGTTTCTCCAGACCCTCACCACCCTGGAAAGTGTTAGCATCATGTGCATCATGAATATGATGGGATTTTACGTACGTAGCTGATGAGAGGGGACACCTCAACACCGACGTCGGCCTTGTCACCGACGACAATGGCACCAGCGGCCTCGACCCAGCGCTTGCCCTGGGTCATGATATCGGCCTTGCTGGTATCAGGGTCATCCTCGCCAGTGCCGGGAGCGTTCTTGAGGGGAGAGAACTCGTCCTCACGCTTGACCTCGAGTGAGGCAAACTTGTCCAGGGTCAGGAAGGGGAAGACATCGAAGACAAACTGCTCTAGCTTGATGCCATTGGGCTTCTCAGGCTTGACGGTCTCGCCACTCTCAAGATCAGCAGAAGGGATCTTCTTGCGGGCAATATGGTGGGGGAGCTTGTGAGCCCACTGAGGAATAGAGTCGAGGAAGCTGAAAGAGTAGTAGTGGTTGACAATGTTGGCAGCACGGAATCGAAGGAGATCAGATTGCTTAGGGTCAAGCTCCTCAGCAGTGGCCTTGTCGATCTCGGAGTACTCAACAACATCGGGCTTGCCGTTCTTGGAGAGAATCAGACCGACGGACTCAGTAGCGTTACGCTTACGGACAACCTTGGTGGCAATGTCGACATTGAGGGCAGCAGAAAAACCAATGAAGACGGGATCAGCGACCCTCACAAGGCAGTTGTCAACGCAGTAGGCGTGGATGTGCTGAATACCGCGCTTTCGCATATCATCAACGACACCGGAGACGACAAGAGCGTTGTAAAGGCCACCGTTTCCATCAGGGGCAACAGCAACCTTGCCCTTGGTCTCGAGAAGGATCTTGCCATCGTTGGAGATGCAGGGCAGAACACCCTGCTCGAAGATCTTGACGTTGTCTTGGCTCAGACCAAAGTAGTTGTTTTCCTGGAAGAACTTCTCGGTAGGGCCACGGGTAGGACCACTGGTCATGACATACCAGGGAACCACAGCGTTGGAGCCAGCAGACTTCTTGGCGGCGAGCTCCTGGATCTTGACAATTCGCTCACCCTGAAGTTGGAAGAGAGATTTGTGGGAGGGCAGGCCAATGTCGTAGCAGCCCTTGGGGGCAGAGCTACCAAGACGGGTGCCCTGACCGCCAGCCATGAGGACAACGGCGACCTGACCCTTGGAGATGAGGTCAAGACCGGAGTCGTACCACTTAGAGATATCATCGGCACTGGAGTCGAGAATGCTAGCGGTGGCAGATTCGGGGAGAGGCTCGAGGCGATCGGGCTCATCGCTGGTCTTGGGAGGGTTCAAGGCGCGGTGTGTGATGTCGTTGATATGGGCGGGGTCGAAGCCTGAAAGCTGCTGGTACAGAGTTCCTCGCTCGGCCGATGAGAGAGAGTCGTAGAAGGTGAAGACTTGCTCTTGACCGGCCTTTGTGTACTTCTCCTTGAGCTCGTTGAGAGCCTCGGGGCTGGGCTCAGCAGGGGCATCATTGGACTTGCCAAGGTGAAGGGCTTGCTTGATGGCCTCCATTGTGATGTAAGTGTATGTGAGGTTTGTGAGAGTTGCGGTGAGAGCGATCAGAAGCTTGAAGACGAACGTCCAGAAACTTCACAAAGGCGGAGTATTCAAAGGCTGGTATTGAAGAAAAGAAAAGAAGAGAAAAGAGTAATGAGCTAGGAACTATGGGGTGGGAAGAATTGAGATCTAAATACGAATTGGATCTCGGAAAGACCCTTACACAGCAGCCCGCAACTTTCCTTTACTTATCCCGTCGTCCCTGACGTCTTCGGTCTTACCTCAACTTCCCTAGCAACTAAGACGCCTCTTAGCTTACCTGGTTGCTACGCTCTTACCTGACTTGTAACACCGTTTACCTCACCGTAAGTAAGGTAAGGTACAATGCTTGAAGCTCCTCCCACGCGGCCATGCAACGCCAACCAACGTCGAGCAACGCTGATGCCCCTCAGCTGCCCCGCCTACCCCATTAGTACGCAAGGTCCAATTGAGCTTAGTCCGCCAATTAGAGTGGGGGAATCAGCGGCTGAGGGACCCCATCGATCCTGCTTCATGCTCACAAGTTGGTGCTGATGCAGCGAGAGCGCTATAGCGCCCATGCTGTTGCGCTGCCACCTCCTATTGGATTTACTGGTATGACAACTGATGCGTACGTAAGCTCAGCGAGTTGTACAGTCAGAGTTTATATTCAAGATCTAGAAACTCAAAGAACATACTGATAACGAGTGTAATGGCTGATGTCGTATTTGTCGAGACTACCACGGGGTGCGCGATGTTCACGAGAAGGAAAAATGATCCAGATGTTCGTCAGGGACCTGCAGGGCTCGTAATCATCAACTTGTCTGTCTTCCGTGTCTCATAACCCACTATGACATTGCCGCCCATAGCTCAGACACGAACTGGCAGGGCTGTTTTATGTGGCTGTGGCGGCTTACATTGGGTCTCTGGTGCTGAAAATAGCACTCTGTGCTAGGAGGCCAGGCCCTGGGTCACCTTGGTCACGATAAAAATTCGCTATATTTCCTACCAGCAATACTTTGAAGGAGATGTAATGAAACCCAACATCCAATGATAGTGACGATCCATTTAGTGAGAACGAGGAAAGTATGCAATGCTATCAAGGTGTTTTCATTTTAAGAACATGTTCATGTAGACTCTTAGCTACCTAGAATGTCGTTTATTGTCAGACCTAAAGCTCCTGTTTCTCGCTCCGGAGAACTTCAGATCTGGCTGCCTGTGGCGAATGAGCCAGACCAGTCTTCATACTTCTACCACATTATTTTGTAGAACAGTTGCCTAAAGCTAAGGTATCAAGTGATAGATTCACAAATATGATGTATTGATCTCCGGGAAGTATTTAAATGTATATGTGCTATTCCATTAGAAGTCTTTGAACCGTCTCATTATTCCCCGGCTGGCAAAAACCGCTAGACTGTTCCATGGTTACTCCCACTTACACCAACAGACTACCTAGTCACAATGACGAGAAGCAAAGCTGCTCGAGAGGCCACCATTCAAGATCCTGTAGGTGACGATGGTGCTGAACAGGAGCAGGATATCTCAAGCTCGCCTCCTCAGCCAGCAACCTTCAAGGGACGTCTTCAAATGAGTGACTTCATGTTCAAATCAAACGAATCTTCAAGTGGCCAGACTTCCCCTATACGAAGATCCCCGAGATTCACAACTCCCACCATTTCGACCTCAGTCTCATCCGCTTCAGCCGCTAAAACGAAGCGGACCAAAGAGCGAGATGCTGAAGACAAAGAGAAAGATATTAAACCAAAGAAAAAGAGAGCACGCCAGGCTTCTGGATATGCGCCTCCCTCAACATACGCACATCTCAATGGGCTGCCAGATGCTATCGCCTCAAATCTTCTCGTTCTCTTCATCGGTCTGAACCCTGGTATACAGACAGCACGAACAGGTCATGCATATGCGCATCCGTCCAACCTGTTTTGGAAACTCCTCTACTCAAGTGGCCTTACACCGCGTCTCTGCAGCCCAACCGAAGATCGTCAACTCCCTGAACTGTACTCCATGGGATTCACCAACATTGTCGCCCGACCCAGTCGCAATGGCTCTGAGCTTAGCAAGCAGGAGATGGACGAGGGGGTTGAAATTCTTCATGAAAAGTGTCGCAAGTACCGTCCCGAGTCTGTATGTGTGGTGGGTAAGAGTATATGGGAGAGTATTTGGCGCGTGAGACATGGCAAACCTGTTGGAAAGGCCTTCAAGTATGGCTGGCAGGACGAGTCGGAGAATATGGGGGTGATCGAGGGCGAATGGGAAGGATCCAAAGTGTTTGTGTCGAGCAGCACAAGTGGTCTTGCTGCTACATTATCGCCAGCTGAAAAAGAACGTATATGGGCAGAAATTGGAACGTGGGCTCAGCAACGGAGAGCGGAAAGGGAGCTTGAGGCAAAAGAAGAGAACAAATAATAGTGTATAGCACATAAGAGATTGACATTTACTCTTTTGGAAAAACACTTCACTACAGCAATTGATTGAACGGCGGCTTATTCCTATCCTAACCATCTAGAATGAACTTTTGCCTTACCAGGCCCTTCTGATTTCAGATTGTAAGTACATCTTCTCCCCAACTCCGTTACGCCAGAAGCCAAAGCACCTAGAGCCTGGCCTTTTACTTGCATCGCTTCTCAACCACATTAGGTCCATTCTCCTCATACTCCTTTCGCGAAATCCACATCTGATGGAAAGTGCCCAAACTAGCGAGAATGCTACCGCCAATCCAGGCACCGAAACGTCGCTCACTCGTGAGACCTGCCGCGTGAATCTTGATCTTGAGCCCGGGGTACATCGCCATCAACTCGTTGTTCAGGCGGTCGTTGAATCCGTTGATCAGACTGGTGCTGCCAGTTACGACAACGTTAGCCAGGAGGTTGCCTCGAAGATCGACGTCAACTGCGTTCAAAGCAGAGCGGATGAGCTCGGGGATGGTTTGCGCTTTGGTGAGTTGCTCAGCGTCGGAGCCATTATATCCGACGGTCTCGTCAAACATGCCCTCTGTCACCCGGAATCGCTGCTCGCGCCACATCTGGTTATAACCGTCAGGCATTTCGAATACGCGGCCGGGTTGCGTCTTAACATAATCCTCATTGCCGGAAACACTGTAACGACCGGGGCCTCGCCAGACTTCTACTACTGACTCCTTGAATTCCGTCAACACACGCTCTTCCTCATATGCGCGGAATGAATCGTTGATCTGAAAGGGGAAGTGTCGTAGTCGGACTGAGGGAGGTGCCAGGGCGTCGACAGGCGTCTTGTTCTCGATCATGAAGGTGGGTGTCAGCTCGACCTTGGGCTCTGATGCTTCAAAGAGATTTCGAATCTGAGAGGAGAGCCAGATGCCACCAACAGGAGACTTCTGTATAGATCGCTTCAGCACCATACCGTCATGAATAGCTGTGACTGAAGTGTTGGCACCGCCCACGTCGATAACTAGAGAGGTAGCCTTGCCAGCGGCAAATGCTGCCAACACCGGAGTGCGACTCAACCAGAAGGCAGGGCAGCCCCAGTTCTCCATGATGATCTCAATAGCCTTCTCACGAGCCTTGGGTGTGTTCCAGGGAGCCTCTGTAATCAAGAGGGGATTCTCGCCCAACGGCTTCTCGGCAGATTCGGCAGCATCGGCGTCGTCCATGGCCACATCGCCCTCTCCGTCCTGGCCTTCTGCCTTGGGGTCGTCGTTTAGACCGTTCTTCGAGGGAGGTGTTTGTCGTTCGGGTTGCAAGCGCTTAACAAGCATGTTCTCCCAAATTCGAGCAGCAACGTCCCAATCCTCCACCACACTATCCTTGTTCATGTAGTTGCGGACTTCGAAGTCGGGGCGAGGGATGAGGCACTCATCACCAAACAAGTCTTTAGGGTTGTCGCCGGTTGTGTGGCCGTAAAATGATGGCAGGATGGATTTGGGAACATCTTCACCAGCGAAGCCAGCTCGAGTGTAGCAGTATCCAGGATCGAGAACGAGGGCAGAAACCTCATCTATATTAACATATGTTAGTGGAGATCTTTGGCGGGCTGACGCGACATGGGGAGCTAGAGCTGCGCGTACCTCCTCCATAGATGTCAGTGGGCTGCATAGACGTGGGAAGGGGCTGTTGAGCCATGGTTGATGGTTTATGGATGGTATTCGCTAGTCAGAGATGGTGAAGGTGGATTGAAGGATCCGGCGCAAAAGTATCGCGGAATTGGTGGAGTTGCGCCAGACCAAGCGATCGATGGATGTTCGCGTTGGAACAAATTTCAGCCTCGAGTGGTTGGTAAGGAAAACATAGACTAACTACGCCACATATTGTCGAGGCTGCGATGTGGCGGTCATGGCTCCACCAAAGGTTGCCGGATTATTTTCGGCGAACCGGCTCTCTTTAAATTTTCGCAGGTCGGTTCCAAATCGCTTCTCTTTTCTCTTCATACATGGAGCGAGAGTTCCATGTTACCATCATGATTGTAAGTACGCATATGCCTCTCAGTTATCCCTCTTCCCTTTGCCTAAATGATGAATTCGCATACTCGCTTCAGAACCGCTGCGATTGACACGGCTTGCTGTGGTTGATTTAAACTGCCAATTTTCTGATTCTAGTGCAACACATTTCTTTGATGTCTCAGCAATGAGTTATTGAAGCACTGCTAACCTCATTGACAGAAGCCATGATGTCTGTACGATACTTGCGACAGGCCAGTCGGCCTTTGATACAGTCGATCTCCCAGACCACAAGTGCTCGTTGCTCACATGCGCTCAGCTGTGGCAATTCCTTCAGGACATTACGGGGCTCACAAAGCGTGACACATGGGAGGTCCCTAGCTACTTCGGCTGCTAGGAGCCAAGACAGCCTGGAGGGATATTCGTCTTTCAAGCAACAGCGTCGCACTGAGCTCTGGGCTGAGAAAGAGAGCGAGGATCCTCTATTCGAAGAGACACACCCTCGCCTCGTCCATCATGCAGAGCGCAAGACGGTGCCTGAATTTCATGAAGCTTTTCGAGATGTTCTTGA